GGTTTTTGTTTTCTATTTGTTTTAGTTTTTAGGAGGGGGGTTGGGGGAGGTAATTAGGTTTATTTATTTATTTGTTTTTAAAATGAAGGTACTGGGGATGGACGCAGGCTCTAGCCCTGAGCTGTACCCTCCCCGCTATTCTTGTTTTCCAAACAGACATCAACGAGTGCGAGCTGAGCGCGCACCTCTGCCCGCACGGCCGCTGCGTCAACCTCATCGGGAAGTACCAGTGCGCCTGCAACCCCGGCTACCACTCCACCCCGGACAGGCTCTTCTGTGTTGGTGAGCTCTCTGCTTTGTGCTGTTTCTTATTTTCTGCCGTCTCTTTCCGAAACAGTCAAGCAATCTTCTCTGGGTTCTGTTTCCATCACTAGCTACTTAATCTTTCCTGTTTCGCTGGAGGTAAAATTCTCCTCTGAGTGGCTTGCAGGCTTTGGGTCTCACCTCCCTTGTCTGTTTAAAGAACGAGTTCGATGCAGGCTGTGGGGTGTTTAGCTCTAGCAAGTATAATTTGACCTGTGCTGCTTCGAATAGTGAACAGCAGCTTTGTTTCCACGAGTGCACACTGATTAATAACCACCTGAAATGAACGCAGCATGGTGAGTGTCTTGAGAGAGATAATAAAGCACAGGGTGTGATTCTTTGCCCTTAGGTGGTTTAGAGCAGCTCAGAGATTCCAAAGAATAATTATTGGGAAGAAGAGCATAGTGTGTTTATAGCTCATAATGCAATAGAGCCCACGTCTAGCGCGCTTTAGAAATTGGGTTTTGTGGCACAAGCATTTTGCTTTGTGGCTGGCCCTTGGGAGGTTTAGTTATGCTGGGAAGAGTGGCACAGAAAGCCCTGTGGCTTTATTGTGCCCAGAGTCAAAGTGAAACTCTGTAGAAACGGCCAGTTTTTGCCTGATTTGAGGCATACCCTATGTGGAACTGCCAGGTCTCACATGGTTTCCACCCCAAATCATAAATCAGCCCCAGTTCTTCGGAAGCGTGGCCCAGGACAACTCAGAGCTCCAACTCTGGTCCTTGAAAAGGACTGCTATCTAGGCCAAACTGAATGTCAAGTTTGTAGCCCAGAAACTTTTATCTGTGTGCCCATTGTTATCACTGAGATGTGTTCTAGCACCCAGCACTTCTCCTGCACGGCACGTGGTACACCACATATTGTGTAATTAATTGTTCATCTGACTCCCTGACTGCCATGTAACCAACATGAAGGCAGGGGGAGTGTCCATCATATCCACTATTAGATTCTCATCTCTAACACATAGTAGGTTTGTAGTTAATATTTGTTGAAGGGACCAAACAATGTAGTGACTTCCCATTGCCCTAGGATGCTTTTATAATTTTGTATTTTGTTTTGTTCCACCTGAGCTGCGGGTGCCTGGAAGCTTTAAACATGTACCATCATCACAAACACAGAGGAAGGTAATACTATTTTCCTTTTTCTTAGACATTGATGAATGCAGCATCATGAACGGTGGTTGTGAGACCTTCTGCACAAACTCTGAAGGCAGCTATGAATGTAGCTGTCAGCCGGGATTCGCACTTATGCCTGACCAGAGGTCATGCACTGGTGAGTAGGTTTGAGCCTCCTGTGAGCTCTCTCGATAACTGGTCCCTACATAGAGTGGTTCAGGGTCTGGGCTTTGGACTCAGACGGTCCTGAGCTCTGATCTTTGTTTTGTCACACATTTTAGCCGTGTGTCCTTGATTAAGATCCTTGGCGTCAGATCCCTCCTCTATAAAATGGGGTTCAGGTCGCCAGTGTGGGAGAGTACGTACAGCCCTTATCAGAGGACCTGGCGCGTGCTCATTAAATGGAATGCGAAATACATTTTCTCCGTGGATCAGAAGTCTGAGGGATCCCATCTTCTGGCCTATTTCAGTGCTACTCAGATGTGTCCCCTGGACCAGCAGAGTCAGCATCACCTGAGAATACGTTAGAGATGCAAAATCTCAGGCCCCACCCCAGACCCACTGAATCCGAAACTCCCGTGGGTGGGTCTCAATGACTTGCTTTCACAAGCCTTCCAAGTGATTCTGGATGCCTGCTACAATTTGAGAACCGCTGGTCTCATTTACACTTCCTGTTGTATCCCCCTGGGCTAGAAGAGTCATACCGTCAGCAAGAGCTGGGAAATGGGAGAGGGTAACGTGGGTTTTAATTTTGGCTCAGGTTAAGAAGAAAACTTAGGTTTAGGAACAAAAATTATATTACTAGACCTAGTAAAAATCTCCCTTAAACACCTTAGATACAAATTTGGCTGTAACAACCAAAGTTTGAAAATAAATATTTTTGCTAAAAATGCACCTGAGTAGATATGCTTATTTCAAGCAATTTTTACCTTAAAGTATCTGTAAAACAGCAGATAGCAGACAGAAAGCATTTAAATCTGGAAATTAGAAAAATAAGGTTCCTAATCATTTTTGGAGGATAAATTGATACGAGAGACAAAAGTGCTAATTGAGTGATTAGTGGTGTGGACCTCCATCCTGAACTCTATATTATAAATTTTGAAAACGGTTTTCTCCTTTTTCACTCAGGATCACCTGAGGGGATAATTTATATAACGCTTCATTTGGATTTGACAGCTCATAGTCTTATGCCAGCAGGCTGAACTTGACTTGGGCCAGTTAACTTCTTCATCACTGATTAATGGAACCAGTGTCAACAACATGCCATTGTTGGTTTTATTCTCTGCAGACATTGATGAGTGTGAAGATAACCCCAACATCTGTGATGGCGGTCAGTGTACAAACATACCTGGAGAGTACAGGTGCTTGTGTTACGATGGCTTCATGGCATCTGAAGACATGAAGACTTGTGTAGGTAAGCAACGAAGGCAGAATTTTCCAATTTTTCTGGTTATTTACAAACACTGAAGTTACGTAAAGATTTTGTTTGAGTACTTGATTGAGCCTATGGAAAGAGTAAAGCTGATTAGGGGCATAGAACTAACGTTCCAAAGCCAGCATTCCAAAGAGCAAGTTCCTTGTGACTGTGGTGGTATGCTCTTGTCAGATCTATTGTACGGACCGAGCTAACCACTGGGCAGCTCCAGAGGCACATTTCTTCTATGTCTATGCATTATTTCTGTCCTCTTAACCCTCCTTCCGCTCTGACTAGAGTTTAGGCTTTTAAAATGTTTGACGAAAGGCAGGCAAAATTTATTTCTGACAAGAATGCAGTGCATTTTAGAACTGGTTGATTTGGAGAGTTTCTATTGGCGTCTTCACCTCTGTTAAACTTTTTAATGCAATATCTAATCTACCTTTAATCTCATTCAATATGTTTTTAATCTCAGACATTGTAGTTTTAATCTCTCAGAGTTTGATTTGGGTCTTCTTTCGTATCTTCTGTGTCTCTACTTGATATGTCCAATCATTTCTTTAGCTTTTGAACACATGGACTACAGTTATAATAACTGTTTTAATGTGTTTGTCTACTAATTATATCACCTGTGTCCATTCTGGGCCATTTCAATAAATTGAGCATCTTTTTTATTATGGGCCATATTCTCCTCCTTCATCGAATGCCTGGTAATTTTTGATTGGATGCCAGACATCTCAAATTTTGCCTTACTAGGTGCTGAATATTTTTATATTCCCAGGAATATTCTTGAGCTTTATTCTGGAACATAATCAAGTTATTTGGAAACAGATTGATCCTTTCAAAGTCTTGCTGTTAAGCTTCTAAGCAGCAGTTAGGGTAGGGCTAATTTTGCTTTATTACTGAGGCAAGACCCTTCTGGGTACTCTGTTCACTTCTTAGTGAATTATGAGCTTTTCCAGTCTGGCTGGTAGACACAGGCACAATTCCAGGCCTTCTGGGAACTCTGATGATTATTCCTTCTAATTCTTTTGGATGGTATTTCCTCCAGCTTCAGGTAATTTCCTTACATGAACGTACTGTTCGCTACTCACCTGAGTGCTTGGCTGGGACCCCCTGCAGATCTTTGGAACTTGCTCTCTCTCTGTATATCTCTTTTTTGTCCTTTACTCTGCCCTATGAACTCTTGCTGCCTTGGCCTTCTAGGACTTCCAGCTTCATCCCCTCAGCTCACAGACATTGCCTGGTTCCACCCGTCATCCCCTCCCTATCCCATTGCCTTAAAACTCTTCCTGTACAGTCATTTGGGGGCATTTGAAGAACTCACCGACTTTGTTTTCTCTCCCTCAGGGAACACTGTCTTTGTTGCCTATGTTGTCTTTTTGTTGTTGTTATTTAATGTAAGAAGGTAAATGTCCCTATGAATCCATCTTGGCCAGAAACGAGAGTCTAGAATTGAAACTATTTAAATTATATCACATTTATATCTTTCAACAACCCTTACTTGAATATTTGTGAAGTCCTCGAAATTAAAGTGAATGTCACTTTAAAAAAGGCTAATTTTTAATTTGGAAAAGAAGTGAAGTTCGTAACTATCTGTGCTAAGACTGCTAGCTCATCTATCTTTTCTTTTCAAGTATGGAACTAAAATGTTCGCATCATGCAGTCTGAATTAAAATTTTCATCTTGCAGCAGAATATGCTGTTTTAAAAAGTTTTCTAGACTGTCACATTAACAGGCTCTGTGCCCAGCCTAGAGTCAATCAGTTTATTTGATCACTTAACCTCCTGCTTGTGGCCGAGATATAAAGCTAGCCTGCATGGTTAGCCTGCAATATAGAAAGCCAGTGGGAATTGAGATATGTAAATAGGCTATTTTTTTTTGCATGAAAACACCTCATCTTTTCTATTTATTTGTCATAGTTGCCTTATATCAGGGAGAAAGTTTTCAATGATATCAAACAAATGAGTATATTTATTAATAGTATCTGTAATTTACAGATGTCAATGAATGTGACCTGAATCCAAATATCTGCCTGAGTGGAACCTGTGAAAACACTAAAGGCTCATTTATCTGCCACTGTGAAATGGGATATTCCGGCAAAAAAGGGAAAACCGGCTGCACAGGTAGGTGTTTTCAAATTGAACAATAAAACCTTACACAGTGAAGAGATCACTACCATCATTACAGACTGATACAAGTTTAAAACTATTAATATTTTAAGTGCATTATAAAGCATTTCCTATAGGATTTTTCATTAACTTAGCCAGTATTTATTTGAAATTTGTCATACTTTGGATTGGATCTAAGCTGAGGTTTTTTTTTTCTTTACCTATGAAAAAAGGCAGATTGGATAAATTATCACTATAAATATAACACTATAAACATCAACATTTTTATAAGGTTAAAATAACATTTTCACATCTAAGTAGTTAACATGCTAATTTCCGAACATTCATATCCCTTTGTTAAAGCAGACCTTTCCCAGTAGCCTCCATTGTCAACACCTTCATTTAAGGTCTCATGAGTTAAACTACTTCTTAAAGAAACATACCCACAGTTCATATATTTCATCAATTCTCCCCAGTCTTCTAGTCCCTTAAATGAGTGTGCTTTTGATGTAGTAAGTTGCCGTAGCCCTCGTAAGTCTTTATTCCTGGGGTTTAGCAAATCTCCTGAAGTGACCATTAAACCATTGATTTTGTTTCTTTCATACCAAACAAAATCAGCATGTAAGAAGGTCTTTTCACAAAATTTGTAGGAGATTATTCTATTAAACATCAAATGGCAGAAGTCACTTTGAGTGAATGATATTGTTTTGAAGTGTTTGGTTGATGTTTTCAAACTTGAGGCAGTGATGTTTAGTACATGAAATGATAAAGTTTTACTGAAGTTACCTACAGTAATAAAACAGATCATGGCATACAACATAATTTAAAACCTAATGGCGATCATTGTGAGCTTGAATTAGGTAACTGCATAAATTCTTTACAAATGACAGACTTTAATTTCAAAAGCCAGTTTGGCGAGCCATTGTGACTTAAAACACACATTAAAATATTTGCAGATTGGTGACATGGTAAATGTACAGATCCTTTACTTCAACCATATAGATATACAGATATCACCAATAAATTACTATTGGTTCAGAAATGACAGATTCTAGCCAAATTGTAAAACGAAGTATGACCCTAGAATGCTTTCGTCCTCACTACATTAGTCTTCATGTGAAGCATGACTGGGGTCCATTCTGATAAATGGCACAGAGCTTAAAATCTCAGGTCCTCATGTGACCTCTCAGGTACAAATGATGCTTAGCTCAGCATGTCTGTGGTTCAGATTTTATTTTTAGCTTCCAGTAAAAATACAGGACTTGGAGGTAAGGGGTGTTGGTCTGGTAGTAATACAGGGGAAGGTAGGGCAGCTCCATACTGTATTTTACCTAAAAGAGGCGAATACCATTGTTTGGCTACTTTGAACTCCCTGAAATTCAACCCAGAGGACCGTGATTCCTATGAAGGGAGAAGCTAATCTAATGGGACAGTCCTCATTCCCTATAAGAAAAAGGTCTCTAGAATTTCATGCTCCAAATTCCAGCTAACAGAGGCGCGGGCAGAGGCTGATTATTTTTAGGCCTCCTACCATGAAGAAAGCTCAGATTTTCGTGCAACATTAATATCAGTTTAGATAAATCAGATATAATGTATGTAACGCCCTTACATACGTGTGCTTGGCATGCAGTAGCTGGTCAGTAAATAGTAGCTGTGATTATCGGTATAAAATGCAACACACAGACACAGTGTCTAGAAGTCGTTTTAATTAAAAACATAACCTCCAGTCTAGCAGAATGTTATTTTACTATTTACTGATATGCTTGAAATCAGTTTAAAGAAGGAAACTCTTAGTCTGTGTATTAGAAGGCTTGTTTCCCATAATGGAGTTTGCCCGGAACCTAAGACTGCACTGAGCTGTGTACACTGTAGTAGCTGAGATGACACCAGTTTTGCATTAAGAACAGCAGTCTTCTAGTAAGTCCCATGAACAGAAACAGAGATTTCAAGTCCAAGAGATATTCTCTGTCTTTTCCCAAGGGGCCAACAGCCCCCTTCCCACTTTTAAATTGTAGCCTGAAATGATTTTTCAATTTCATAAAACCCAGCTAGCACTGTAGTGGGAAGAACTGAGTTTCATGGCCCTTGCGATACCCTAGTGCCATGACAGGTGAAGGTCTCATGTAGACGAGTAGAACTCTGGGTTTGATTCCCAGTTCTTTTCACTGATCCTTGAGCTTGAAGAAATCACCAGGGTGCTCCTTCGTTATGCAAGTGTTCCCCTGCAGTGAAGTGTGGAAGGAGGAGGTGCATAGGGCAGGAAGAGAAAGAGGTTCTCTGTAAATAGTGTTATTAACAACCAAGGGTATCACATTTGGTTGGAAATGACTTACACAAACAGGAATTGGCAGCAAGTTTGGTATACTTAAAAATAAGTTTTCAGAAATCTGAGCCAATTTTTTTTCTTAATCTCATGTAACTAGGGCTCTTTTAG